CTCTTTCCTGCCTATGCAGGGGGTCGGACTCCGTGATCTATTGAGGTCCCTTCCGACCCTAACATCTATGAATCTATGAAGTGCCATGTAGGCTTAGGGAACAGCTTGCACGCAGTTAAGTCTAAGTCTAATCATTTGCTTCGTGTAGAATTGATCATATGTTTTGAAAGACATGCATCTTAATAGAGAAATCTCTTGTTTTTTTGTTTTTGGTTTTTTTTAGTATGCTTTTTATTGTGTTCTTATAATACACCATGGGATTTTGTGTATTGTTTTTAAGGAAAATGATGTTGTTGTTATATGAAGAAGGTCTTCGAGTTGTGATACACACATCCAACCTCATTGCTGATGACTGGTACCAGAAAACTCAGGGGTAAGCAGTGATCTCCTTGTTATAGTAAAGGCTATGCTCTATTTGTGGTTTAAATAATGAGCCTGTTTATCTTGTGCTATATTGTATATATTAAATGTGACCTGAAAAGTGGAAACGAGGAAGACTGAATCTTTTCTCTCATTTTATGGCCTGATAATTGGACATGTGTCTTTGTGGTTTTCTCTAGGGGTGCGCTGATAGAGATTTTTTTGGGCTGATACCAATGGCCAATTTTTTTTTTTAATGAGCCATATCGGCCAATGCGCTCCAATTCCAATATGCAGCCCCACAGTCTGGAGAGCAGCCGGGTCTGGCTGATAAGTCTGTGATGGGAGAAGGGGTAGGGGAAGGGAAGGGGCATGAGGGGGCAGATTGAGGCCCATGTGGTGAGGGAGAGAGTGGGGCAGGGGCAGGCCCTGCCCAGCTGGGATGGGGTGGGGCATGGGATGGAGCCGCAGCTTGTCCGGGGGTGGGGGTGTGCAGGCCGGGAGCGATCCGGGCCCTTTTTTTGCACCGCGGGCTGTGGCCAGCAGCCTGGGCACGCTGGGTCGGAGAAAGCAGGCGACACGCTAGAATTAGGCACGGACGCATAATGGTTGATTCAGGATTGTTTACTTACACCGTAGATGGTCGCGGTGTAGGCTGGACAGTTTCCCAGGCAAAGCTCCGCTTAAATCCCCAGTTTAGGGACTCGGACAAAATCTGACTCACTCACACGGAGTTGTCTAGGCTCCGTGGGTCCTTTT